CATGGACCAAATTTAATTGTTTTATTTTTTAAATAAAAATAATATAATATTTTAATTTAATTGTACCACTTTTCATTTTAATAAAATATTAAAGGTTAATATTTCAAATTTGGCCACCATCTATCCGGGGAGATAAAAACGCGTTAGGAGCAGTCACGAAAAGACAACTGTCAAAAGCTGATTGGTGGCAGGTGGTACATGCCAGCTCTTTTTCGTTATCTTTTGTACCTGTAAGTGGGCCAACGGCTGCTTCCCTGGTCCAATCTGCCAATCAGACCCACAGAAATCTCCGAAACGCAGCCTTCGATTCTGCGAATCAATTCCGATCATCCAATACCCGCCGCCCCATGTCTGAATCAAAGCCAAACGCCACAGTCTCCCGCTCAGGTTCTGTGTTTTTTTTTTTTTAGTTTTTTTTTTCTCTATTGATTTGTATTGAGAATGATTGTTTTTTCCTTTTTTTTTTTTTTGTGTTTGAAATTTTGAATATGATTTCCCATGTTGTTTCTATCTGTTCTTTGTTTGGTTTCAGAGAAATTCAAAGAAAATAAATGAAAAATGGCATCTAAAGAAACACATTGTTTTGGAAAGAATACTCTTGGGGAAAAAAAATCTGAATTCAACTTTATTTGCGGTTTTGGTTTATATTGGTCACTTTTTAATCTTTCAATGTATTTTGTTTTAGTAATAATTTGTGTTCTGTTGGTGAAATGATGGCTTGAATTTGAGCGTTTTTTGTGTTTTTTGGTTATCACGTTTTTCTGCTTAGAGAATAATTGACATTCACACATAATCTTTTCTTAAAGTTAAGTAAAATCTTATAATGTAAAGTGTTAATAATTATAATAAGTTCTTTTTTCTTAGTGTAACATGTGAATCAACATATTTTTTTATTTGACATATTTACTGTAAGATTTGATTTTGAGAAAAGGATTTGCACGACGTCTCTATTTCACGCACTTTTCTATGGTTGAATTTTTCACCCCACACATTCTGTTCGTAATGTGTATTTGCTGTTATGTGGTTTGTTGTTTGAGTACATTTGGAAATGTTGTGTGTTTTTTATGATTGTAGCAGATGGAGGTGTGAAAGGACCTAATATATTTGAAAGAGCAAAGGATGAAATGAAAGCAGTAGTGCAC